GCACTAGATTAAGATGCAGGAGGCCTGGATTACATTTCCACTGTTGGCTTTCTGGATGACCTTGACCCAGTCGCTTCCCTTTCCTGTGCCTCAGTGTCCCCATCTGTAGAATGAGGGTAATGAGACTTGCCTCCTTTGTGAAGCGCTTTGAAACCCATTAACAAGGTGCCTATCTGCATCCGTACCTTTTAATCCAGATATGTAGGCCCAGCCCAACTGTGTGACCGTACCAACACAACAGAGAATGAGGCTTAATCTGCAGATACCATTTAACTAGGGCACAGAGCTGGTCTATCAGTCTGAAAAATTTTGATCACCAAAGAACCTCCCGATCTGCAATACCATTATCCCTCAGCCCTTCCTGTGATAATTAGTTCATGTAACCTTTCTGGGCTTCAGTGTAGTAAAAGGGATAAATGACTTGTCCAAGGATACACAAAACAGGAACAACTTCTGCTGAGTCCCAGTCTAGTGCCCTAATCACTGCACTGCACTTCCTCTTCCCTCCAAGCCTTGACTTATCACTGTCTCCTTAACGCTTTCTCCATGATTCCTCTATTGTTAACATCTGAAGATGGCATCATTGTCATGGATTTATGGAACTTAAGGCCAAAAGGGGCCACAACATTATTTAGTGTAACTTCTTCTATATACATAGTCCTGTCCACTCCCCCAACCCTTGTAGGAGGGTATGGACTTGCAGAGGTAATAGAGGGAGTACATTCTGGTGTGCTGTGCAGGTGGTCATTATGGATGAGAATAGAATGTGTTGCAGTCACCTGAAATGCAGCAACCTCATCTGGTAGTGCAAGCAGCACTCTCAGAGCCACCAGCCCTGTTCTCATGCCTCTGGGCTCTGATCACATGAGGCTGCAAGCTACCAGGGCTTTCAGAATGAAACCAGCATAAGTTAAGCATGTCACAGACACAAAAGCCAAAGGGGAAATCATTGTGAAGATCATGGTGAATGCATTTGCCAAAGTCCCAAACTCATCACTGAGGACTGCTTCTCTAGTTTGGGATTCTCTGTTCAAATGCTTGTAATCAAACAATGATAGGTCAAGGAGAAAGATGGTTGGATCCCCCATTGCTGCAATATTAGAACCTCTCAAGCACCCCCATGAGGCAAAACAGCACTATCATCTGCTTTTTAAATGAAGGGAACTAAGGAACAGAAAGGCTAAATTATGTGCCTGGGGCCATGGAGAAAGTCTGTGGCAAAGCAAGGAAACAAGCTGGAGTGGCTTCTGATCCCAACTAGAAGCCTAACCACTGGACCAATATTCCACTGCTTCTACTTTCACCTTTTGGATCATATACTGGCCCAGCTTGGAACCGGTAATTAATAGCATACAAAGCACCATGCTTCCCACTGCTCCCGTAATGCCAGCGACATGTGGGGTGTAGCCATCTGGAGAACAGATATATGTAACAAGGCCCCTTTCCCATTACTGAGAAAGGGGAGCAAACCCTGGGGCCTGCTGACCAGCCAAACCCCAGGTACAGACTTTTAAGGGTGAAAAGGGCTTGAGTAAACACTTACTATAAAGCCAGCAACAGCAACATCAGGGGCTGGAAACTTGTGTACAAACATCACAGGACCTGGCAGCAAGGAGACACCCTGGGGCTGCCCTAGCAAGCCAAATCAGAAAGCACCTAGAGCAGCTCAGGGAGGCAGGTGACCAGCAGGGGTTGGGGCTGGGAAGCTGTATAAACATAGCCCCTGACCTAGAGGTGGTTAGTCTGGCACTGGGAGCTGGAGAAGAAAGAGCTCCTGACCTGGAAGTTGCAGAAGAGAGCCTGGCTAACAGCAGAGCTGCCTGGGGAATGGTTGGCAAGGTGCTGCTGATTTACAGAGGAATACAGCCCATGGACTAGACTTAGGTTTGAACCCAGGGTGGAACTAATTTGTGTTATAGCCCAGGGACTTACCTTTTGGTTATAGTTTGCACTGGTGGTTTGAGTGGAAATGTAACAGATGATTTTTGGAGGCCCTGTTGGTGCCCTTGGGGCACATGATCACATTAAGCTGTGCTGGGAGAAGACTCAAGGCAAAGCAAGTTAGCAGAAAGCCCAGAGCAGGGCCAAGTGTGGAGCCAGAGAGCCCAGAGCCTGAAGCAGGGCAGGGACAAGGCTGAGACCCAGAAGTCAGATCCAGTGCAGCAGGCCTAGGTTATGGGAGCCAGCCAAGAGACAGAGCTGCAGCCAGGAAGGCCAAGTCCTGACAAATATATAAGGGCCAGGGGTAGCCCAGGGTTGAGTTAAGCCCAAGTACCCCCAAGACACCTAATTACTAATTAGCCCATGAGGACAGAGAGCAGTTGCCATACCATCACAGACAAAAAAGGCTAGGACCAGTTTGGAAAGAAGGTGGTTGAAGGGGAAGTATGATAAAGATCTTTAAAACCATGAAGGGTGTGGACCAAGTGAACAGGAAACTCTCTTATTCAGCAAGTCCCAGAATAGTAGGACTAGAGGCCACCGATTGAAATTAGTAGGAGCAGGTTTAAACCTAACAAGATAAAGTCCTTTTTTATACATTGTATGCCACTAACTTGTGGAATTCACTGGCACAGGAGGTAGTAGAAGCAGGTAGCATAGCCAGGTTCAGAAAGGGTCTAGACCAGGGGTGGACAACTTGCGGCTCCGGAGCCACATGCAGCTCTTCAGGAGTTAATATGCATCTCCTTGAATTTTTGCACAAACACACAAGGACAAGCACACTCCAAATGGAAGGTGGTCACCGTGTGCTTGTGCAAAGATTCAAGGAGATGCATATTAACTTCTAAAGAGCCACATGTGGCTCTGGAACCGCAGCTTGACCACCCGTGGTCTAGGCAAATTCATGGATAATAAATCTATTAATAGCTGTTGACCAGAACAGTTGGAGATGTTTCCTCTGGTGTTTTTAAACCAATAATGGTGGATGCCAGAGAGGATATTGAATAAGGGATAGATCACTCTGGATAGTTCTGGTTCAGTGCTCTCCTCCTATGGTGTCCACTTCTGTTACTGGCAAAGACAGGATACTGGTCTAGATGGACCACTGGTCTGACCCAGTATGCCACTTCTTATGTTCTTATGATTGTATGCCTTTGCTCCATGTGAAGTGGCACATGGTTACTCCTGTTGCCCTGCCCGGATTCGGATGTACTTGGCCATACTAACCTCATTGAAGTCCTCCAGTGGCTTTAATTGAATATTCCATTGCTTTTCAATCTCTGTTAATTTTGCTGTAGCCAACTAGAAATGGTTAGAAAACTTGTCCTCCATCTCGCCTACCTTTCGAAAAATCAACATCTCAAGTACTTTATCCAAAATCCAAAGTGTTTTCCTTCTGAAATGCTGTACTAGAGCCTCATGAGAGTTGATGTTCAGGCACTGGCCACCCTATTCTCTACAGGTTGTATGTCCTGGTTGGACAACTCCTGCCAATGGTGCATCACAGCCCCCACTCTTGCTAAGGGCAGTGATATCCTGTGACCAGGAACTCCCCCAGTGCATGGGAGAATAGGCCAGCCAAGAAATACAGCCCACAGAGATGAATGTTGACATGATGCAACTGCATTACATCTCCCATGAGGCCCCATGACAATAAGGGGTGATTCAGACATTTGTTTTGGTTGTTTTGGGTTGGTATTTTTTCATTTGTTTTGTCTTTTTAACAATTGTTTTTTGGGATTTTTTTCATTTAAATCATGATGTGATTTTTTTTTCCATTATAAAATATTTTTGCTGGAAAGTGTTTGAGGCCAGCATGGGAAAGCGGCTAATATATTTGGGATGTTAGCATAAGTTAATAATGACAAACACTGAATAAAGTGCTCTGTTCTCTGCACACTTCACAGCCTTACAGGACACCTTTAAAGTCATCAACAAGATCAAAGGCGATAACACTGAAGATGCTGAACTGCACTCCACTCTCCAGGCCACGGGGGTCCATTTAACTGATGAAGAGTTTCACAAAGCTTTGAAGAAAGTGACTCTGGAACGTGAGCTTTCCAGCTTTCCATTTCTCTGTCTTCATCTGCCATGTGTAAGGATGCATCCAGATTGCATCCAGCTAGTGGCATGCAACCATTCTAGCCATCATGTGTCCCCTTTGACATAAAGCAGCCAAGTTCTAATCTCAGTTATGTCTTGGTGCAGTCCAGGGAGATACTCCAAGTCTACACTCGTGTGACTGAGAATAGAACTGATCCCCTGAAGTGTAAAGAAAGGATCTCAACTGCCCATTTCCATTACATCCCAGGCTGTCATTTGTCACTTTTACCACACTCACATTGTCTCTAATGAATACCCTATCCCTCATGTGGGCACAGAAAGGTGAATCTCAGATACAGCAGAATCCAGCTTTAGATCATTGTGACTTGGAGTGATTCTGCTGGTAGTATTTGGTGTAGCTCCACTGAAGTTATTGGAATCAGTGGGGTTACACCTTTTTCATCAGTTTGAAATCTGGCCCACTGGCAGGGTGACCTCTGGCTCATGTTGATTGCTGGCTGCTCAGATGGTATTGTGAGGTATTGTCTCTCTGAGAAAAGTTGTGCTGTTTCATCTTAGTTGGTTTTAAATTGGTCTAGTTAAACCTGTGCAAGTCTAATGTAGAACCACTTAACCAAGCTAACTGATGCTTACAGCAGGTTAACTTGGTGTAGGAACTTCAACTGGTGCAAACTAAAGTGATTCAAACAAAGTCCAAACCTGTTTAATGACTAAAATCAACATGATTAACCCACTAGGAGATTTCTGGTGTAGCCCAGCCCAGCAGTTAAAACTTCCCTGGAGTGATTCTGGATTTGCACCAGTGCCAGGCAGATCTAGGCTCAGGAATTCAGCTTCTAAGCCCATGTCTGCATCATGTGAACAACCTGGGTTACTGGCCTGGATAGAATGATCATTTGAGAATAATAGGCCACATTTTTTCCAAGTCCATCATTAGAGAAGGCAAATTTTAAAACTACTGGAGAAAATGGCCAGATAACCAATGAAGGACCAGATCCTCTGATGTGCAGCAGTCTGGCCACCTCACAGTTTATGCATCTCCACTGGTTTGCAGAAACTGAGAATCTTTCATTTGTCAGTTTTAGTACTTTCCATGCTGAGCGCATCTCTGTCTGTCTCTCTCTCCATGTCTCTGTGGCCTGCCCCATCATCTTGAACCATTTCCTATGGTGCTGAAGGTGGGATAGTGAATGTCAATGATTTTATGATTGCTTTGTCCAACACTCAGCACTTCTCTGATTTTTCAGGTGAGTGGGGACTTGCTGGGGCAGAGAGAGATGGTGCTCAACTCCACAGTCCACCCTATGCTTTGTGCATTCACTGAAGTCAGCACAAAAAGGGTGAAAAGTGTACACAGCTCACAATGAGCACTTTACACTCATGTAAATCCCTGCTGCACTTGAAAGGCTGTGCCAGCTGCTAGTGTGATCCATAGCCCTTCTTTCAGGACTGGCTCTGTTTGTAGGAATTAGAATTACTGTTAAACAGCTCTAATGCAGCTCCATTGCACATACAAAGGCCACCACCACCAAGTGGCCAGATTTCCCCCAGCTTAGCCCATCAGGTGTTTGTTTGGTGCTGAGCACTTACTGATAGCATGTACATCTGTTCCTTTTTGAAGAAGAAACTCAACCATCCTTTGATGATCTCCAGTTATAGAAAGGATAAGAGGTATGCACCCATCCTTATTCTGTGCATTAATGCAAGCATCAGCTAAAACAACTCTATTTCTAGAGATATATTATAAGTACAGGCAGCAAGGTGAAGGGCAGTGTTGTGGTTTACATCAGTGAGATTAGGGTCTGTGCCACTTTCTAACAGAAAAAGGCAGACATTTTTCCTGCTGGCACTGCCCTGCCTTCATTCATGCTTTCATCTGTTTCCTTTGGCAAATATGACCCCAGCTGAATAATAAGCTGCTCATTGCGTGTGTCTGCAGAGCTGAAAGATGCCACTGAGGCCACCAGCAAGACTGAAAGTGACAAGGTGGCTGTGGGTGACCTGCTGACCTGTATGAACAACATGGGGATCCAGTTATCAGATGAAGAATTCCAGGAGGCACTGAAGATTGGTTTTGTGGATGGTAAGTACATGTGGCCAGCCAGGGACCTGTTTCCAGCTTGCAGGCCCAAATTAGCGTTGCTCTCCCTTGGGATTTCACTTTCCATCTCACTATATTCTGTGCTTTCCTTATGGTCCCAGCTCCTGAAGTGTTGCAATTGTGCACATATCCTGCTTTTCCTTTAAAAAATAGATATCTAGTCTCTGTGCTTCTGGAGAAAAGCCCAGCTGTGATCAAGTATAACTTGAAGGCTGGGAACTGGAAAGCAAATAATACATAAACACTCACTCTCTCTCTCTCTTACACACACACACACACACACACACACACACACACACACGAGTTTTCTTTTAAAAATAGCTAAAATATTGCATACATTTCATAATCTGGGGGTCTTATGTGTAGGTCCTGGGTGGGACACACCAAATTCAAATGAAGATCTAATATCATGTACCTGAGGTAAGTGGGTGAGCTAGAGAAAGCAAAAGCAGGAGAGGGCAACAGGGGAGGCCTTCTCATTCTTCCAGAGAAAGTAGGGTAGTTGGCTTATTACCTCAGGTGTCTGTATAAAAATGCACAGAGCCTGGGAAACAAGCAGAAACAATTGCAAGTCCTTGCACAGACATGGAATTATGATGTGACTGGCATAACAGACTTGGTGGGATAGCTCACATGACTGGAGCACTGTCATGGATGGGTACAAACTGTTCAGGAAGGACAGGCAGGGGAGAAGAGGAGTTGCTCCTTATGTAAAAGAGCCAGGTGATTGTTCAGAGCTTCAGTATGAAACTGGAGACAGGCCTGTCAAAAGTCTCTGGGTTAGGTCAGAGGGAAGAGAAACAAGGGGGATGTCATGGTTGGTGTCTGCTGTAGACCACCAGAACAGGAAGCTGAGGTGGACAAGGCTTTCTTCAAATAGCTGGCGCAAGTTTCTCTATCACTGTCCCTGGTTCTCATGGGGGGCTTCAATCACCCTGACATCTTCTTGGAGTGCAATACAACAGTCACAGGCAATCTGGGAAGTTTTTGGAGAGTGTTGGGGTCAACTTCCTGGAGTAAGTGTTGGACAGACCAACTAGGGGCCATGCTCTTCTTGACCTGCTGCTCCCAAACAGAGAAGAATTGGTGGGGAATGTAGAAATGGATGGCAGCTTAGGCAGCAGTGACAAGATGATTGAGTTCATGATCCTGAGGAAAGGAAGGAAGGGAGGAAGGATAGCAGCAAAGTAAGGAACCTGGACTTCAGAAAAGGAGACTTTGACTCACTCAGAGAACTGATGGGCAGGATCCCCTGGGAAGCCCGTCTGAGGAAGAAAGGTGCATATGCCAGGGGGTAGGGCTAGGATTCAGAGAGACCTCAAATTGTAGAATTGAACCAAAAGAAATCTCATGAGGGTCAATAAGGACAAATGCAAAGTTCTGCACTTAGGACAGAACAATCCCATGCACCAATACAGGCTGGGGACCAACTGGTTAAGAAGCAGATCTCTAGAAAAGGACATGGGGGTTACAGTGGGCAATAAGCTGAATATGAGCCAACAGTGAATCCTCGTTGCAAACAAGGCTGACAGCATATTGGGCTGAATTAGTAGGAGAGTTGCCAACAGATCGAGGGAAGTGATTATCCCCTTCTAGTCAGCACTGGTGAGGCCACATCTGGAGTCTTGTGTCCAGTTTTGAGCCCCAGCTGTAGAAAGGATGTGGACAAATTGGAGCAAGTCCAGAGGACAGCAATGAAAATGGTTAAGAGGGTAGGGTACATGACTTATGAGGAAAGACTGAGGGAACCAGGCTTATTAAGACTGGAGAAGAGAAGACTGAGGGGGGATTTAATAGCAGCCTTCAACTCCCTGAAGGGGGGTTCCAAAGAGGATGGAGCTAGACTGTTCTCAGTGGTGACAGATGACAGAACAAGGAGAAGTGGGCTCAAGTTGCAGCAAGGGAAGTTTAGGTTAGTGTCGCAGAGCACTGAGGTGCCCTGCTCCTATGAAGGGAAAAACTGCTGGGGAGGGACGAGCCCAACTGCGGGTTGCCAGGGCAACCAGAGGAGGTCAGCTGACCAGAAGGGGCAGGGCCTGGCTCCCATATAAAGCCTAGGGGCTGAGGCCAGAGGCGGTTCCCTACCAGCAGCCAAGGAGGAAGGAGCTCCCTGCCAGGAAAGAGAAGAGAAGCCTGAATGCAAGAGCAGCATCTGTCACTGCGGTGGGATGAAGAATCCCCGGTAGGCTTGAGCGTGATTATAGCCGGACGGCTTCTGTTTACGTTATAGCCAAGAGGCTTGTGTTTGTGTTGCTGTTTTATTACCGGTGGTTTGGGTGAGGCTATCAGGGGATGGAGGAGGCCTCATAGGGGCCCCACAGCAGAGTGGGGACCCCAGCGCCAGTGAGGGCACAGCACTGTGACGAAGCCCCAGAGAAGGGGGCAGCATTGTGGAGAAGCCCCAGGACGGGCGTGGTGAGCCCCGGAGAAGGGCGGTATTACTGAGGAAGCCCCAGAGAGGGGGCATTGCTGAGAAGCCCCAGTGCAGGTGCGGTGAGCCCTGGAGAGTGGGGCAGCATTACTGAGGAACCCTGGAGAGGGGGCACTGCTGAGAAGCCCCAGTGCAGGTGCGGTGAGCCCTGGAGAGTGGGGCAGCATTACTGAGGAACCCTGGAGAGGGGGCACTGCTGAGAAGCCCCAGTGTGGGCGTGGTGAGGCCCCTGAGAGAGGGCGGCATTACTGAGAAGGCCCCTGAGAAAGGGCGGCATTACTGAGAAGGCCCCAGAGAGAGGGCACGGAGAGAGACAGGGCTGCAGAGAGCCCAAGCACCAGAGAGGGCGTGGAGACAGAGAGAGAGACAGAACAATGTCCGTTACACCTGCAAGGCTTGGGACGTGGTACAGGGGTGGTAGGAGCCACGCATAGCCCATAAGCCTGGGGTGTACGGAACGCCCGAGACAGGAGAACCATGGCCAAGAAGACAGAAGGCAGCCTCCCTATAGAAATATATAAAATCAAAGTTGTGGCAGGCGAGAATTGGAGGGTGCTAATCGGTATCTTGACACAGTAAAGGGGGCGGCAGGGGAGAGCACAGTGACCCAGGCCGCCCTCCTGTTACAGTTAGATATTAGAAAAAACTTTCTCACAAGGAGGGTAAAGCACTGGAACAGGTTACCCATAGACGTTGTGGAATCTCCATCCTTGGAGGTTTTCAAGAACCGGCTAGACAAAGCCTTGGCTGGGATGATCTAGTTGGGGATGGTCCTCCTTTGAGCAGGGCGGTGGACTAGATGGGAAATGGCTGTGGCAGGCAGGGGGAAGGAGCAGCAAGTGGGTGCACGGAGCTCAGTGACAGCTGTGCGGGAATGCAGGGCCAGCACCAGCAGGACCCAGAGTGGGGCAGCAGGAGCGCGGGGCCCAGGCTGCCAGGAGCTCTATGGAGCCAGGCTGACTTCCTCCTCTCCCTGCCTAAGCAGCACAGCCCGGCTTCATAGAGCCCCAGCAGCCCAAACCTATGCTCCTGTTGGCTACAAAGGACCAACTCATGGGATCATAATAAATCCTAGTTTACAGGACAGGATGTGAAGTTACCAATAAAATCATAAATTCAAACTTTGAGTTATGGGTGGTACTGGTCACCTGAGTGCGCACGCACGCACGCACTCACTCATTCAGAACTATGTAGTATAGTGTGTAGTGGCTGCTGCAGTGATTGTGAGTACTGGTGTCAGTATATCTACCTATCCAAGGCCCTGGAGTCTGCTGTTGATGGTCAACTTCCTTCAAGGTGATGTCTTCTCCAGAAGGGGGTTGCCTGCTTGTCCTTCTGTCTCAGTAGGTCAGGTGCTGGATGAGAGGGTGTCACTGAAGGTCACGCTTCACTGCCTCTTATCCCTTTCTGGCAGACTTGTGTAATCTCCCAGCATCATCTTGGCTACCCAATCCAGAGGTCGCTGTCCCATGTGGGTCTTGAGTAGTACCTGACAACTATTAGTCACAGGGATCTCTGCCTGCCGGTACCTGAAGTTTCAGGAGTTCACCCTTGACTTATTGACTTAATGGCTGTATTGTCATGGGTTACAGGAGTGGTCCATAGGGTGAGTGCTCAAGTTCCAGGAATCAGTTCTTTAGCTTGATTAGCTTAAAATGGAGCTCCTTTGGTTAAGCTATTGTCTACTGATAAGCATCATTCACTCGCATTCACTCAACAGATTTTATCACTTTACAATTACAGTTTCAATGCAGTTTTAACAATGGTCCAGGGTGTAACTTAATTCTACAAGAAGCACATTCCTTAAGAGTTTAAAAGTATAAAATATAAAATACAAAATGAAATGCCATGGTAAAGATGAGACAGATGAAATATGAAAATGAACTGTGAGAAATATATAAAAATGCAATGTGAGGTAGTGAGGATTAAAGACTACTGGGGGCAGTGAGTTAGGTTAGCACAGGATATATTTACAGTCTTTGCAGTCGATATTTTAGTTCTTTTGTTTTCTTTAGTGACACTGAGCTTAATTGATATGTAGATGTAGTTTCTAGGTTTCTGCTACAGAAAGCCACTTCAGCTTTCTGGCTTGCTCTGAGCCTTGCCACACCCATGCAATGAGTGTGCTAGGTATCTGCCAATACTAAGAAGGAAAAGAAATGCACAAAATGGGGGTTGGGGGTGCAGGCAAGAAGGGGCTTCTGTTATATCCATGTCCGGAAGGGAAATGTACAAAGGGGGCTTTCTGCTACACTCCTGCCACCCTTCGCTCATGCTGCCCCACTCTGGGCCCTGCTGGCGCTGACCCCAGTGCACTGGCATGGACCCTGTGTTCCTGCCCAGCTGTCACTGTGCTCCACGCACCTGCTCGCTGCCCCTTCTTCCCCGCCTGCCACAGCCATTTCCCCATTCCCACCCCCCCACCACCATACTCCTGCACCATGTAGTTCACGCCTGCAGCACTAGGACTGCAGGATCAGCTGGGACATGGTGCCAGAGTGGGGGGGGAGTAGAGTGGCAGGAGAAGGGCAGCAGTGGCAGGCAGGGAGCAAGTGGCAGCAAGCGGGAGCATAGGACCAGCACTAGTGCACCAGGGCCAGGAGTGTCAGGAGCACAGAGCCTGAGCTTGCAGGAGCACTGGCAGGGGCTCTGCCTGCCCTGGGTGGAGTAGGGGGGGGGCAGGCTGGGAATCCCCCCCCCACACACACACCCTCCCCCACATCCCACATACCCACAAACCTATACCCATCCTACCACGTACACTTTCCCACAATATACAAGAGTAAGACTTCATTTTAAGCTAATATACTATCACCTCTATGTACACTACACAAACATGTAAATCAGGACAAAAATATTTTTTGAATTAAAACTAATGAATGTTGTAGTACGTTTGATTTTTAGAAAATAATTTGGTATTTTTCTGGTTTTGAGATGGCAAAACCCCTTGCTGAAAGGAGTATCCCTGACGGCAGGGGAGGGATTTCTGGTGGCAAAGGTCAGGGGTTAAGGGGCAGGATTCCATTCCCAAAAGGTGACCATGGGATTGGGCACCTGTCAAGGGTCGGGGCTACCCATGCAGCCCTCAATGGCTTGCCAAAACTCAGTAAGCGGCCCTCTGCCCAAAATAATTGCCTGCCCCAGCTTAGGTGGACATGTCAGTCAAGATGGCTGCTATCACACAAAATCCATCACTGCCGGTTGTCCTTCAGTCTCTATTTTCCCATCTGTGGGAATGCTATCCATGTGACCGAGGCCTCCTTGCCAGCTGGTTCCTGTCAATTATTTTCTCTGTCTAACCTGTATCTTATCTCACAGGAGATGGGAACGTGGATTTTAAAGAATTTTTAAAGGGTTTGACTGGCACACAACAATCCTCCGAAAACATTGGTAAGTAACTAGCTTATGTTGAGAAGAGATGGATGCAGGTGCTTCATGTTGTTGAATTCTGGGTGTGTGTCCACAATGCTGGGAGGAACTGTAAGCATCTCCTTGGCATATCTAACTCTTACCTGATATAGAATCTGGTCCATGGGTGGCTGGTGCCTCCTGAGTCTGGTGGGGCACCCGCAGACACCACTGGCAGCGGCGGGCTGGAACTGGCAAGCTCCCACAGATGGCGGTGGTGGGGATGGCCCTGTCAAGGGGAGCATGTTGAGCACCCACAGACGCCACCAGCAGTGGCACCGGCAGGGATGGCCCTGTCAGGGGGGGCACGTG